GACATCAACATGCGGTTGCTTTTATGAGCATGAGGACTACTGAAACGGAAAGCCGCTACCATTCCTATGAGTTGGAAACGGTAGCAGTGGTACACGCTATAAAACACTTTCGCCAGTACTTGTATGGACGAAAATTCACTGTGATAACAGACTGCAATGCACTGAAAGTGTCCAAGCACAAGAAGGACCTTTTACCAAGGATTCAGCGTTGGTGGGCATTCTTACAAAACTACGATTTTGAGGTAGAGTACCACAAGGGTGAACGCCTCTAACATGCTGACTTTTTCATGACTTTTTCAGCAGAAACCCGACTGAGTATGCAGTCAATATTATGACAAGAGACTTGAACTGGCTTAAAATTGAACAACGACGCGATGACTAACTGCGACCTATAATCGACAGACTTAGTGGAAATAACCCAGTAGAGGACTATGTCTTGGAGGATAACGTCTTGAAAAAACAAGTAAACGATCCTATTTTTGGTCAGCAACTTAGCACAGTTGTCCCCAAATCCTTCCAATGGAGTATTATCAACTCTTTTCACACCGCTCTGAAACATCCAGGCTGGGAAAAGACATTACAGAAAATCAGAGAAACTTATTGGTTTGACAAAATGAGTTCTACTATTCGAAGATTTGCAGACAATTGTGTTATATGCCGAACATCCAAAGGAAGATCTGGTGCTATCCAAGCCCAATTACACCAAATACAAAAACCAAAGACTGCTTTTCAAGTTATTAATATGGATGTAACTGGAAAGCTGGGCACTCCAGATGACCAGCAGTACGTCGTAGTCACCATTGACGCTTTTTCAAAGTACGTTCTGCTCTACTTCTCCAGCAACAAAACCCCACACAGTACATTAGCTGCTCTGAAACGCACCGTGCATCTATTCTGTACACCGATTCAAGTAATAGTCGATGGAGGAAGAGAGTTCCTTGGCGAGTTCAAATACTATTGCGACCACGCTGGAATAAATATTCACGTCATAGCGCCAGGAGTTAGCCGAGCGAATGGTCAGGTAGAAAGGGTCATTGCAACTCTCAAAAATGCATTGGTGATGATTAAAAACTACGAAGCAGAGCAGTGGCACACTACGCTTGAGAAACTGCAACTAGCAATGATCTGTACAACTCATCGTGTCACTGGCGTTGCCCCATTGACGCTTATTACACGAAGAAAGCAGTGTGTACCTCCTGAGCTTCTCAGCTTGGTGAATATTGACAATGAAACCGTAGATATCGAAGCACTAGCTCAACAGGTACAACAAAAAATGTCCCGTTCGAGCGAACAAGACAGACGAAGATTCAATCTACATAAAGCCAAAATTCATCACTACCAACGAGGAGACTACGTGTTGATTAAGAATAACCCTCGCAATCAAACATCTCTCGACCTTAAATTCAGCGAACCATATGAAGTTTGCAGAATACTAGAAAATGATCGCTACTTGGTAGAAAGTTATCGGCAGTGGAAAAAAGTTATCGGCAGTGGACGACCTCGCAAGGTGTCTCATGATCAGCTGCGCCGAGCTCCACAACCTGGTGAACAGTTGTCCGTATCGGCGGGAAATGTATCACCCGGTCATTAGGACTCGGCTTCAATTTCAATTGAGCCTGTCCCTCTGATTCTACGAGACCCAACAAACCACGACCTACAGGGTGAAAGCAATTCATCAAAATAAAGCGTAAGTAATTCAATTCAATATTAAACTTTAACTAACTCTACGAGACACTACACACGTACCTACGAGAACCCACAAGAATCTTCGAGAATCTACGAGAATTTTCGAGAATCCACGAGAATCTTCAAGAATCAACGAGAATCTTCGAGAACTTCCAAGATACTTCGAGAACCCCACGAGAACCTACCTATAAGTGTTAAAAATAGTTCATAAGCCATTAGTTAATCACTGTTTGATTATTACAATGTAAATATCTGGTGATTCACATAATTCGGTACCTAACTTGAACCGGTGAACACGTGTCCGCCGCGCGATGATTCACATAATTCAATACCTAACCTAAACCGGTGAACACGTGTCCGCCACACTATAAATACGGCCGCACAAAGCGTGCTAGAGCAGTCTCGCTCGGGCAGTCGAACAGTGTACACCTCCCTAAGTACGTCGTTACGCTGTTGGTCGAATAAACGAGGCTTTCAGTATACTTGTAGTGTTTCCGTTGAAGTGTTTAAATTGAAAATGAGTGATCACCATGGAGGTAACATTAGTGACGTCAGCCAGCTATCGACATTAATTTGGATATAGTAGGGTCAATCCCAGCGTACATGTAAAATATTTTGTATAGAAATGTATTTACCAATATCATGCAAATTATCAACAGTGTTACTTTTTTCTTTGAAGAATATCAAAATTAACAAAATAATTGAAACCATTCTATATTTTAAACAACATATAACATAAATTTAACCAAAAATTGACTCGTCTTATTATCGACGACTTCTTGAGAATTTACCTGTGAAATATGCAATTATCAGGATTATTATTATTGATAATATCAGCAGCAGCTATGCAGCTGTAGAAAGACCAGTATCACTGCGACCTAAAATATCGAGTGATCGCTGCTATGGCTATAGTTCACCACTAAGCCCTATGTATTCAATGAATAGGAGTTGCTTAGCTGTGAGTAATTTCACTTCTTTTGGGCGAAGTAGACATTTGCGCATTAAGGGTCCACAATCAGTCAGGATGTGCAGAAGTGTTTCTTCTGTTAAGGAACAAAACCGGCACATCCCTGAGCTGCTTAGTCCCAGGATGGCATGTGCTTTTTAAGACAACAGTGTCCAGTCAGGGCTCTTGCCAGAATGCGCAGTTTATTTTTACCTAATCCCAAGGATACTGAAGCGAATTTACAATCAAAGGCCCGGATTAACTTTTTATATTGTTTTAAGCCTGATGTATTAGACCAGATCTTAAGTGATTTGATAAAGAGTTTCAAGGGTCAATTGGGCTAGGCTTTCAGAGATTCCACAAAATGGCTCAGTTTCAAATAGTGTGCTCTTTATGCCCTCCCGTGCGAGCTCATCGGCAAGTTCATTGCCTACAATACCCGCGTGACACGGAACTCCTCTTAAAACGACCCTATTATTACACCTCAAGGCGTTTAGACGGTGCACGCAGTCTCCGACTAGAATCTAGTTCACTATCTTGGATCTCAGCGCAAGCAGTGCTGCTTGACTATAAGTGTTTATGTAGATTGTATGATTCATGTAGTGTTTTTGCAAATTGATTTCCGCACACTGAAGTATGACGAAAATTTCTGCCTGGAAGTTAGAGGTGAATCTACCCTAATTCATACTAAGTTTGAATTTGTTTTATGTTAAGTTTGAAATTAAGTTCTAATGACTTCATCCACAAGGATTCAAAAATGCCCAAGAATATTGAGTCAACTTCTGGTTGAATACCTACCTTTAATTTTCCTGCCATGATCGCACCATTATTGTAGCCTTAAACTCGACAATCATTCATGTCTAAGCCAAACACTTGTACAATTGCATCAAGAAGGAGGACAGTAAGTCTCTTTTCGGAAGAGTCATTTAGTCTCGCCACATACATACGGAATTCAGGATTCCGAACGCAGCAAGTCCATATAAAATCAACGACCCGTCACATACCTACAGTAGATTACCGTACGGAATTTTGCGGTCAAAACGGAAAATACCTACTCGTGCTTTGACTTCCTAAGAATGAGTGAATTGGTAACCGATGCCCAGTGGTAACATTTCGGTTGATTTCGGCACCCCCCTCCCCTCATTGGCGGCACCCGGTGCGGTGGCACCGCTCGCACCACCCTAGGGCCGCCGTTGTGTCGATTTATCGTTCAAAATCTAACCGATATTATAGTCCACCACCACTATTCTAGGAAAGACACGCCATCGATGATAATACGACACGTGTTCCGCCTCTACACGATGCATATTCAGGTGATGTAGACTCTACGGCGGCTGACCGCTAAGAGTCAGCTTAGAATAGTGATGTTGGGAGTAGTGGTGTCGGGAGTAGTGGTGCTAGGATTAGTGGTGACGGGATTAGTGCACGCAATTGAGGGGGGGCAGGAGGTGCTCTTCAAACTAGGTAAGACACATAATTTTATTTTATTTGAGCGGATGGTTGCAAAGTAACTATCTTCTAAGACTCGTTACGAATACTCGTTATGAATACTTGTTTTAAGATTTTCAACTTTACACGCAAACTTTTAAAGTTGTTTATTTAATGTAATACAATCACAATGGAAGTTCAGAGAAATTCTCCACATGCTGGCGAAGTATCTAGGGTTGCCATTTTCGTCGTTTTGAGCTACCATCGTGAAATCCATTGTTAATACTCCAATTCTGCGAAATACTGCCAGGTTTTATAAAACGTCAACCGATCATGCCAAATGCTTAAATAAGCGACCAATCCTGCTAAAATGGCAGAAACTTGCCACATGTGGTCACACTGTTACAGAGTCGTGAGATATGCTTTCATTCTCTATCTTGCTATACTATACCCTACGGAATTTTCTTCTCTTTGCACGCTATGGTCGTCTAACTATAAGTCTATGCTGATAATATTTGGTACGAGTATCCGAATGACGGACCCAACACTAGAGGGCGGTAGTGTATGATTTTGCTCGACTAGTTTACTGCTGCCATCACTGGCAAAGTATTGAAATTAAAGAATCGACGTCAAACTAAACATGTCAGTCAGCCCCACATAATGGCGGAGGTTGTTTTTTAAATAAGTGATTAATTCCGGGGATGTTTTTCCGCAAATATTCCCTATCCGAATTAACCTCATCATTCTATATAAAGTTCTATCCGAATGTACCAATAAAGATTATCGTAATTGTGAAATTGTAGTGAACTTTAATATATAACTATGGAATTTGTGTTCTTCGATGTATTATTGAGCTTATTCAATTAGTGTGGTGTAGTAATTGGCAAAGAATAGGGCCGCCTGGAGCCGGGGTCGTGAGGGTGGCGGCGGCTGAAGTGCAATGGGGGCGCAGCAGGCCAAGGAGCGCGGCACAGCCATCGGCGCGTCCATGCGCTCGGCTCGGAGCAGGCCGCGAGCACCCAGAGACCCCCGCATGTTAGGCTCCAATATATTTACCGAACATAGTGGTAAGTCGCTTACATTAAATTAACAAGGTTCACGCTTTCAATTCATTTACAATGTACAAAGTAATTTAAAGTGAACAATAAACATTAAAATTATCTTACATAGCTATTATATATAAATTCTAGCTAGGTCCTAGGTCTAGGAGTTAATTATCACAATAAAACTTTGTTATATTGTGTTACTTAAAGCATTACTGTACAGTGTTTTTATCTATGTATTTTAATATTAACATTTTGATTCTGTAAGTATTGTTTTATAAACACTCCTTTGTTTTATAATTAACCCTTGCAAACAAAACTTTAAGTATATAGGTATACATAATTATTGGGTTTACATTCTTTGTGTATATTTATATTATTTGTGTTTTTGCTTTACTATTATAATGTGTGTATTAGTAGGTAATAGTATGATATTTTTACAAAATATAAATTAATATATTAAATGTTGAAGAGTAAAATTTACATGATAGTGCTTTGAAGTGCAAGAAAAGCTTGAAATTCTTTATGTCTTATAACAAAGCAAGTTTTTGGTAGTCTCGGGCTTAAACTATGTTCAACACATTCAAGGTCTGATTTTCAGACGCAGTAGCAAGATAATAGCAACAATTGTACACAGAACTGCGAATGGGTTAAACCATGACAAACAAGACATTATAACACCACTTAAGAAGTCCCTTTAGCTGCGGCATCACTGTCATATTTTAGTTTGCTTATATAGCACTTCATGAATAAAACAGTTTTTTGTTTAAAGTTAAATAAGTTGCACTTCTTTTAATATTATATATAATTAAAAATCTAATATATCACAATGTTTCTTTGTGATGCTTTGAAATACATGATTAAATATGTTTTTTATAAGCTAAAAATTATATTTCCTACACCACCTGTACTTCACACTAGACCTTTAAATTCTGGATATTGTATGAGAGAAGATGACCACAATTGATATGGTTATTTTGAATAGTGTCATTAAATATTTTTATAAACTTCCACACACCAGAACATAAAAACATGGTAGATCAAAGAAAATGCTTTTTGCAGTTATATTTTGTTTACTTTAATTTTGATGTGCTGCTGATGGAAATTTGAATTTAGACTAGCCTACATGCATTCTTACTACTGAGCACATACTCTAATGTCTGTGAGGGTTATAGAGTAATGCTCCAGTACATGTTGGCAGACTTCACATGTCTTTGAAATATTTTTATTAATCTGACATGGAGGTTTTCCTTGACATGTTTTCTTTCACTGCTGGGCATATGCACTGAAAACTGTAACTAACAATTTGTAACATGAAATTAATAGTAAGAGCTTAGACCTTGAGCTATGGTGGCTTTAATTATAAATTTGGAATTGGAGAAAATTTTGAATTATATAATTAGTTCATTTGTATAAGTGTAACAAGTTGTGTGACCACCTTTCTCGAGAGTAGATTAAAACAATGGCTCACTTTAAACAAAAATTTACTATAATATCTTGAATGGTCTCCACGAATATTAAGCACAGTTGTCATACAATAGTATCAATGAACATTTTAGTAGCGGTAGAGCCGCGCTGCAGCTATATTAGAGTTGTAGCGTGAATAGTTCAGTTCGACCGGGGAAGGACCACACACTTACAGAATACCAGTGTGAAGCCAGCCACCAGCTTAATGCTGCTGTGTTTAGTATATTGAGTTACTTTTTACTCGAAAAGAGGCATTCCATCTTAGTTCCCAAGGGTGACAACACATCTGCATTTTGATTCTTTATTAAGGATAAATGTCTATGGGCCACAGCAACCACTTACCATCAGGTGGACTGTGTGCTCGTTTGTCATCCTATACTATAAAAAAACAATGCATATCACTAAGACCTGTTTTGGAATATTCTACCAATATTCCTTGATGGCAGATAGAAACTTTTGCAAGGATTGGATAAGAACTTATCCTTTGAATTTTAATAATTTTATGTTTATTAGTCTTAACATAAAAATCAGGTATACCAACCACATTAAAGATAATGATTTCTTGTATTTACGCGAATACTACACATTGAAATAATACTAGTTTTTACGGAATTTATCGCATATATTTAACTTTTTAATTACCTGATGTTTCGAACGCTTTACAGCACTCATGGTCACGGGCAGGACTGAGATGTTCAACGTCCATATGTTATAGTTAACCGCGGTTACCATAGATTAAAATTTAACTTTTGTTCCGATCTATGCAGTATGAACTTATGGTATCTTGAAGTCTTGCAGTTGTATGCTTGGGTTGGGATTTAATTTTATTTATTATAGGATCCCAAGCAGATTGTAGCACCCAGCCATCTTCTCTATTGAAATTAGGATGTTTTTTGATTTCAATAGCCTTGCGAATCATCCTTGGAAGGAATCGGTGTTCTTTGGCGAGGATCTGCGGTCTATCAAATCTGATGTAGTGACGGGGGCGATCCTGTATGATCCTGTATGTGGAAGTCTGCAGTCTGTGAACCCTATCTACCACACTTAAATGTTTGGTGGAGATGTAACATTAACAAGCTAAATCACATCTACCCTATAATAGAAGCGGCCATGTCTGATAATGAACTGTTATTTGTTTAGTGGTTATTCAAATAAACCCTTTTTGCTCCAAATTTCTAACCTCTTACCACGTCAGTCTACTGACTCATCCAGCTATTACAGTCACTCTGTTCATCTAAAGTTATCAACATTAAGATGTACGTAATGATGATAAAAAAGTATCACATATATTTAACCCGACTCTCTTCATAGCTCCTTTTGAGTTACTTTGTGCTTCATCAATAGCATTATTGCTTATTTTTTTGGATAATTTCCAAGTGTTATAACAGTGATAGCTTGCTACTTTAAACACCATTTTAAAAAAAAACTCATTCCAGTTATATATAAACTTTATGATTCAAAGTTTTGAAAATTGTATGAAAGAGGTGCAGCTGTCCTGCTGAACTCAGATTTTACTCGTATTCTTTTCTTAAAGGGTTGATGCAGGCAAATTTATACAAGTGGAGCTTGCAATATCTTTAATGTGTTGAAATAATACTAGTTTTTACGGAATTTATCGCGTATATTTAACTTTTTAATTACCCGACGTTTCGAACGCTTTACAGCACTCATGGTCACGGGCAGGACTGAGATGGTCAACGTCCATATGTCATAGTTAACCTCGGTTACCATAGATTAAAATTTAACTTTTGTTCCGATCTATGCAGTATGAACTTATTGTATCTTGAAGTCTTGCAGTTGTATGCTTGGGTTGGGATTTAATTTTATTTATTATAGGATCCCAAGCAGATGGTAGCACCCAGCCATCTTCTCTATTGAAATTAGGATGTTTTTTGATTTCAATAGCCTGCAAATCATCCTTGGAAGGAATCGGTGTTCTTTAGCGAGGATCTGCGGTCTATCAAATCTGATGTAGTGACGGGGCGATCCTGTATGTGTTCACAGACTGCAGACTTCCACATACAGGATCATACAGGATCGCCCCGTCACTACATCAGATTTGATAGACCGCGAGATCCTCGCCAAAGAACACCGATTCCTTCCAAGGATGATTCGCAAGGCTATTGAAATCAAAAAACATCCTAATTTCAATAGAGAAGATGGCTGGGTGCTACCATCTGCTTGGGATCCTATAATAAATAAAATTAAATCCCAACCCAAGCATACAACTGCAAGACTTCAAGATACAATAAGTTCATACTGCATAGATCGGAACAAAAGTTAAATTTTAATCTATGGTAACCGAGGTTAACTATGACATATGGACGTTGACCATCTCAGTTCTGCCCGTGACCATGAGTGCTGTAAAGCGTTCGAAACGTCGGGTAATTAAAAAGTTAAATATACGCGATAAATTCCGTAAAAACTAGTATTATTTCAACACATTAAAGATATTGCAAGCTCCACTTGTATAAATTTGCCTGCATCAACCCTTTAAGAAAAGAATACGAGTAAAATCTGAGTTCAGCAGGACAGCTGCACCTCTTTCATACAATTTTCAAAACTTTGAATCATAAAGTTTATATATAACTGGAATGAGTTTTTTTTTAAAATGGTGTTTAAAGTAGCAAGCTATCACTGTTATAACACTTGGAAATTATCCAAAAAATAAGCAATAATGCTATTGATGAAGCACAAAGTAACTCAAAAGGAGCTATGAAGAGAGTCGGGGTTACTATATGTGATACTTTTTTATCATCATTACGTACATCTTAATGTTGATAACTTTAGATGAACAGAGTGACTGTAATAGCTGGATGAGTCAGTAGACTGACGTGGTAAGAGGTTAGAAATTTGGAGCAAAAAGGGTTTATTTGAATAACCACTAAACAAATAACAGTTCATTATCAGACATGGCCGCTTCTATTATAGGGTAGATGTGATTTAGCTTGTTAATGTTACATCTCCACCAAACATTTAAGTGTGGTAGAGCCATGTTGTAACTATATTAGTAGTATAGTTGTAGCATGAACGGTTCAGCTCGACAGGGGAGGGAGCACGCTGTCACAGAATACCAGCATAAAATAGCAGCTCAACGCTGCTGTGTTTCATATGGTGAGTGTAGAAAACTGGACACACATTTTACTAGAAACGAGGCATTTCATCTTAGTCCTGTGTATATTGAGAATAAATGTAGATATCTATGGGTCATAGCAACCACTTACCACCAGGTGGGTTGTATGCTCGTTAATCACCTTTGCCACCCACAAACTAGAAATTAAAAGGGAAATAACAAATTGACTATTCTATAATTAGTGTCAGATTTTGTTATTTTTGGTCCAATAAGATTAAGTATCCTTTCAAAATCTAGTCAGTCATAAGTTTGGTTACATAAAGTTTCTGATTTGTCCATCTTCAATGTGGCCTGCTAACAAGTCATGTCTTCTCAAAGTATTTAACAGCTCAATCCCTCCATGTACTTTTTTCATTTTAGGTGGTACCCAATATTTATGCTATCTTTTTTTTCATGAAATTGTAAATACTGCAGCTGCCAGCAT